TTCCGGAATCCGAATAACGGAAGGCAAACCTAAAAAGTTTACTACAGTATAAAGTAAAGCGACGAATCGGATGAACCTTAAAAATCGCTAACTACGGAGCATGTGAATGTACGCATACGCTCTACTACAAAAATTAACCGGAGAGATGTTCCTCTCCGAGCGCTATTGACCTTTACGCTAAGATTGACCGTGATACTAAATCCAACTCTACGGCAAATTTTCGTAAACGAAGCCACGGATAACTTCAACTAAACCGAAGTAGTTTTAATAATTAATATTAGTTGACTTTCGCAGGCTCTACGTGGGTTTTACAAAGTAATTTACTTATAAACCATAAAAATATTTGCAATATTATGATGCCAAGAGGAATCACAACAAGTGAGAAAGTGCAATCCTATTCAAGTGAAAACCGCTAAAGTTTTAACTCAACTGATATACTGGTGATTTTGTAAACGATATACTCTTTGGAAACGGTTGCTAATGTCAAGTCCAAAAAAGCTTTAACTAATTGGCCTTAAAGTAATAATATACGAAACGGCCAGGACTTGCAAAGCAGGCAGAAGTATTTTTTCAGATTAGCATCTTCCGATAACGAGTGTGTCATCAATTGGACGCCATAAAACGAATAGATACTCAACGGCACAGACCTAAAGACATCCAGACGAAGGTAGTTAAGTTCGTAACTTTGTGAATCGATCAAACCAAAGGCTAAGTAGCAGCAAAACCGGAGTGAATTTAGGGTAAAACGGTGTTTGTTGCAATTTAGATAGTGTTGGCACTAGATAGATAATACTGGAACACAATTTGTTCGAATCTTGCTTTAGGCAAACTGAAAAAAATAAAGTGATTCTCGTTTTTCCAGTTCAGGTTTTTTTTTATCCTGTAGTCGTTTCATAAACCCCAGTCGCGGGTAAATTCATTTTAATTTCCACCTCAGCATTAATTTATTCAAATTGACGTTTATATTACTAGCGATACGTTCGTTTAAACATACGGGAAACGACAATCTTCATCATTCTTGAAAGAAATACTGACTGCTTGTTGCCGCCGGTAGTTTTAATATGCTGAGATAATCGTTCACCGTCGTCGCGGTCGCTCCTGCACTGCCTGCATTGATTAGTTCACAGATCTATGGCTCCTTTTTAAGTGTTACGTGTATTCTTCTACTTGAGATTGATGCTCGACTTTGCTGGATAATTTCAGACAAATCATTTAATAAGCTAAAGTTATAAAGGTCATATTTAAAAAGATACATTCGAAACATTGCAGAGGAATATGCTCGCAAAGCTATTGTTGTATACGTATCGGAACAATATCTATCGAATAAGATTCAACAAGTAGTTTAGGGAAGTTCTTACTGTAGATTAGCGAACACATCTTTGGACAGGTTCACGTCGCGATTCGAGATTTAAAGTTACAGTAAATAGTCGCAATTGAAAGCTTTTTTACAGTTTGTATATAAAGTCGATTTATTAACCTGCATACGGCCATCCAGTTTGGGATGTGATTCCCGTGATTCCTAGCGGAGATAAGGCTCGATAATAATTCTAATCGTACCATGTGAATAGGAGTACGAATAAATTAATCATAGTTCATACACAATATAGTTCTTCTCAAGAGCGAAAATTGCGTAAGAGGCTATGGGGTAATATAACAATATTTTCGTACATTTTTCTGCAATCGTTTTTGAAAAACCACACATTTGCTTTACACTACCGGTCTACAACTGCTTGCTGCCGTTAACAAACAGCGCAAAGTAGTCAGTTCCACTAAATCGTTTGAGGGCCTTTCTACTCCGTTCTGGCTATGAAAGGGCCTCTAATCATAAATTATGAAACGTGTTTAACATTATAGAGCAATTGGCGATGCTCTGTATCGCTCAGATGCCACTTCCAAAAGGTTTGCCAGTTTGTTTGCAAAGCTATTCTCTAACTCAGCAGGCATTGTTCAGACATGCTAGGTGCTCACATAGTTATACATAGAACATTTGAGGTCTTGTTTGTGCATTGCTAATTACAAGACAAGAAACATAGTTCAACCAGTAACGGTAGACGCATTTTTACAACGAAGTTACAGCGTGAATTTCCGCGCTCAGTCCGCCCTATACACTGGAATCAAGTCCTGAGATTGAAACGGGCCCGTTTGGACCTCAGGAGTGTTTTCTCGTGCACTCGGCAGTTTATTACCCTCTAAGGACACCTATACTCTCGTAACCTCATAATTAACTAATCCTCCTATAGTCTATGTTCTAACTGGGTGGTTGGTAGCCACAATCGGACATGGGAGTCCGCTGTGCGCATTTCGCCTATATGTAATTACGTCGTTAGCTAGCTACTGCTTATTCAAAAACCGTTTGTCCGGTTGCTCGAAGCAGTGCATCCTTCGATCTGTACCTTTCGCTTCTAGTGCGGTATACATCATTATATCGCCAGTTTTATGTCCTCACGTGTCGCTTTGACCCTGCTGCAACTTCCCTTAGGCGCCGCCTCTTTTTCATGGTTCACTATAAAATACCGTACTGGTCATACAGCCTTGTCCGAAGCCTCTAGCTTTCGGAATACCGGTGTCAAATTCTAATTGCTGTCGGACAAACAGAGCCAATAACTATGATTATTAGTTAGTTTTACAAAACCAGCCTTGTGACCTCGATGATCTTCGGCGTGTCAGGCTAGCAATGCCAGTCCCAGAAACTACGTAAAATAACGTCGAATCGAACCATGGCAAATTATGACATGACAAACTCCAGCTGATATGCACCCGCGTCAATCATTCGATGCACTTCAATTTAAGATTGAGAACAAAATAACTCTGTAGTAACATAGTTTGTACATGTAGATATAAATAGATTGGGCTTCACTTTCAGTGAAGCTTTACAGACACTACAATCAATGAATTTAATAAATTTATCTCAATTTAGTGGCTGTAGGTTTTAAGTTGTAGGGGGTCAACAAAAGTGCCATTGGCTCTGCGCAAAGTGTGCCATTTGGTACTGAGCAAGACACTCGTAACACAAATTGCGTTTCTTTCATAAAAACTATCAACCGTAATTTTAAAGCATCAGTCACATAGTACGGAGACCTCTGTTCACGCAAAACTAGCAACATATTTGTTTTATACACGTCTATTAACTCGACTTGATAAAGATATCGCAATAGGCTCTGTTAGTGACCAGCTAATTTTGTCTCGTGTCCTCCTGAAAAGTTATTGTGTTTGCGCATAGCGCGTGTATGTACATCGTATTGTATTTTCACGTTTGCTAATTTATTTACTCCATCGTCGACAGTGTACTTTACGTTCTCTAATTTCCAGTTTGACATTTTCCCCACGTTCGATCGTCTCGTACATTATGTAAGCGTTAACAGCAATGATGTATTCGTTATATGTTAGGTATTAAAGTTGTATACTTATCACCACTAAATTCATAATAACTTTGTATTCTTCCCTCTTCCTTAATTTTCCTACGGCTTATTCCTAATGCATATATATCGTTATCATTATTGGTACATTTTACTTTTTTGTGGTCTCCAGAAACTACCGCGAACTAACTGATAACTACTACACGGGTGTATACGATGTACTTACTCCATGTACACATTCGTTCACTATTGTCTAACTACGTGAAGTACCCCTTTTATCAGATTTACTTAGTTGTCGATTGACATGTTTTCTCAGCCCTCATTGAAGTCATCTTCATTTTTCAGTGATGTGCCTGCGATCCCTCAAGTACTAAAGAAAACATCTTTATCGAAACTTTCTTTAAACGTTTATGTAATGTGTTGCTAACGCTCGCGAATTTTACAATTCGGTTGACGTTAATGGATTCCCAGTCTTGTCATTCAATGCGCCACGGGAGCACGGAAGTCTGCTGTTTCTGAAGTCAGGTTGTGGCCCCTGGCGGGCACAAGTAGGCTGTTTCTCTGATGCTTATTTGCGTCTTATGTGATCTTGTGTTTTATGTGATCTTTGAGTTAATGGCAAAATACAATGCAATCTAATGCAGATTTCGAACAAATTACGAGACATGTTGCGACGGAGCCGCATGAAATGCAAGAAAGGAAATTCGAGGCAATCGTTTCATTTTGCATAAACGTCATCAATAATATACATTGCCTTAAGATTCAGTCTTAAGGGCGCGTCCTTTAGGATACGCTTGGCCCTGTTAGGCCAGATATAACTACATCTGTAGTCTTTGTCAGTAGCAATTACTATGTCTGTTGCGTGCTTTTTTTTTGTACGTTTCGTTTCTAAACGAAAGGTATATTTCACGGGAACAGCCACCATATGCTGCAGTTTACTTTCCCTACAGAAGGAAAAGATTGCTTAAGATTGAAAAACAATCTACTAGATCGTGCACTGAGGACGATCTCCCAGTTTGTTTTTTAAACCACGTCGCCACAGAAATTCGTTTAAAGAAATGTGTTTACATTGCCACCAATACTCAGCCTCACGATCATTTTGAGTTTATAATCACTGTTCTCTAGAAAATAAACGGGATCTGTGCAGTCAGTTTTAGAGCATTCCCGACTTAGGTTCTGACCGGGAACGATCTTATAGCCGACATGTGTCAACAGCATGAAGCTACAAGTAATCTCATGTGTGCCTGTATGAAATATGTGGCAAGTAATCCTATGTGTATCTGTATGAAATATGTGGCGATCAAATTTTTCTGAAATTCTCCGAGTGTTTTCGCCAAATAGAAAATATGGGGGTCAGGTTGGTGATCATACAGCTTATAGATCGTGACAGCGCTCAGATGAATCCGCGCTTTTTTTTATACTCTTCGATATTAAGTGATCGTCTAGGCGCCGAATCTCGGAGCAACACATTTGCAGCCGAACTGCCTAGCGATGCTCGAACGGGGTGATGGGCAACGTGCGGTGCCGGAATGGATGCGTCGAGGTCGATTGCAATATCGAAGTCGTGCGCGGCAAACAGATCTCCCCCGTTTGCAGCGCCCAGCGTTGAGCGCGACTTCTCTTTCTCTTTTCGAGCGTTTTCCTCATCCTCTTTGCGTTTAGCCTCTTCAGCTGCCTTTCGCACTTCGGCGTCGCGTTTCTTTGCTTCTTCTAATGCCTTAAGCTGCTCCGAGGTAAGTTTGTCTGAACCACCATGCTTCTTTGTTACGAGAGACGGGGCACATTTGCGCCTTGTAAATGGGTCATCAGCCTTTAATTTATTCTTTTTTGCGTCCTGTAACGTTTATCGAACAGAAATATAATAGACGTGGGTTTTATGAACATTCGGCACACTAGAAATGATTGTGTAGGAATCAAAGTTACTGAGATGTTTATGACATCAGAATAATATCATAGAAACAGGCACAGAAACGGCACACGTTAAACGTAAACGAATTGCTTACAAGTTTTTTTTAAGTAACTTTACACTGTAAACTATCCTTCATTAGCAATACAACTAACAAATTATTCTCTTTCAGGTCTTTCAAAACTGCTAGTGGAATGCTTAGGATGGCGAATTGTGCTAATCATCGTTTCAAACCAGGAGTGACACCTTCTCAAAATTGCAATTTTCAAACATAAGCCCTGCCCCAATATCCTTCCCGAGTCATTACCTCAGCACTCACCTCAAGGATAGCTCGTTCAATGTCAACAATGTTCTTCTGCCTATTCCGCTCGTTAATGTACTGAATAGCCGAGATCGTACTCGTTCTCTGCTTATCCAATTCTTTGGCACGGTCTTCAAGCCGTTCTAACTCTTCAGTCAATCTGAAATAGTAATAATATTAGCAATTGTATTTACATTTGCCTACTTACGCATCATCAAAGGAGGTCGGTCATACAAGCTCCCACAATGAAGGTGGATGTGTAAGACCGGCATACACAATAGAAAAAATGCGAAATTTCAAAGTTTTTGTTAAATTAAATTCCGTTTCTGGACATGTGTTACTTCTGCGGAAATTATGCTGCTTACCTCCGTGCCTCTTCATGATCGCCGAGCTGTTCAGCCATCTCTTTCTTTTTCATGAGCTCCGTCTTAGCCATTGCGTAGTTGTGTGGATTTCGCTTAAATTTCTTCTTCTCTAAAACGATCTGATTGATATCCGAAACCGAATATGAATGATTGTTTGCGGCGTCTACATCGCGTTTCTTCCGTTCGACGGAAGAAATTGTTGGTAGCGTCAACGAATCCGTGCTCATGACTTCCATCCATTTAGCAAACTCAGCGTCCGTGAAGTCCTATGAGCAACAATATTACCATTAACGAAAAAGAAAACAAACGTGAGCTTTTTCGAGGTAGTCACAATAAATTCAATTAAGTAGTATTATACTTACATAGTTACATATCTACCTAATTATATGTTTATCTAATCTAATAATTATCTTATTATTTATTACATTATTAAAAGCTATCTGCAGACATTTCGACCCAACTATCCTCAGTATTTTTTTTTTATTCTTTCACAGGCGTACATAAATTACTGTAAAATTTATTATTTGCCTGCATGAACCATTCCCCCCAAAAACTTATTTTCTAGATCCTTATGCTTCCATGACGTCTGCTTCTATCTTCGCGTTACTTGAAGTGCATGCCTATTCACCAACCTGATTCGAGACGTATTCTATTCGAAACACGCGCTCATCCTTTCCGTGCTTTATCCGAAGTCCTTTGTTAGTTCGGTTCTTGCCCAACTGGTAGATCTTCGGTGTTTCCACCACGTCCAAGATTTCGGCCACCTGCAATCAGGTCGACCACCAAATTACGACGAAACATATAATATGTTAGCAACCGCTAGCCGAACGATTATTATCAACCGATGTATTACCATCGAATATCGGAAATGAACATAAGTAGTTGACACAGTAATTGATATACCGATCTGACACAGTTAACCCATTAATGCATAACTCACATACCCTGTACACAGATTCTCCTCCCTTCTGACCGATGCCTATTCGTACGAAGCAACCGATAACGGTCTTTGCGAAAAATGGAGCAAATAACCATTTCTCAAGGCGAAACCGCGACAGTCGTATCTGTGAGATGTGCTCCTTGGCAAAAACAACCTTTTCTTCGCTCCGTCGTGATGTCGTGCTGTCGGCTGATGATGACTCTGAAACGAAAGAAAGGAAAGAATAAAGAAAGACAGAAGCCAAAATATCAGTTTCGATTGCTGCTGGGATCAAAGTTTACTACAGTTAATTAGTTGCGATTGTTTGACTACGAAATAGTTCTTCTAGAAGGAGATGCAGCCTTAACCAGATCGATTATTTGGTTTAGCTAAAGTGTCGCCGGGCTGCAACGAAAAACAGTCGCGGGATTCAGCTTACCTGACGATCGGCTGACGCTTCGGGATCGACTCCTTGAACGACTTCGCGACGACGATCTACTCCTGCTTCGAGACCCACGACTTCTGCTTCGCGAGTCTCGGCTTCGTGATCGACTCCGGCTGCGGCTTTTGCTCCGTGATCGACGACTCACCTTTGAACTAACTGACGATGATCTCGAAGCGGATGAGTCACTTCCATCACTGTCATCATCGGAATAAATATCTGACGCTTTCAGCTTTTTCCCAGTTTCCCGTTCGACCTTGTCGCCTTTATCCTTGTCTTTCTCTTTATCACGTTTGGAGGTTGATGTCTCTTTTTCTGTGTCCTCTTTTTCCTACGAGTAACAGTGAATAAAATAAGGTACTGCTTGTTAGATATGCCCAGTCAACCCGAGAAAGAACTTCGTTAAATTAGAGGACAAAGGAAATTAATAAGACAATTTTTGGTCAGAATGCCAAGCATTATTATGACGGATATCAATCCTTACAGATTCGAGCACATACTCGCAACTATTATTATTAAACATAAAGTATGCAAGGTGGACGAAGTTACCACGTACTTTGCGTTCCTCCTCAGCCTTTTTTTTCTTCTCACGTTCTGCTCGTAAATTCTGAATAGCTTGGCTTTTCTTATCCTGGCGACCTTCGAGGTTCTTCTTGCGCTCTTTTGACCGCATGGACACATCGGTAAATGATTTATCCCTCAGGCTGAGATCCTTGTCTAATTGTTGCTCCTCTCTGGCTTTTGATTCGCGTTTCTTCTTGGCCTGTCGCAGTTTCTTTTCAATTTCAAATCGAGCCTTAAGGCGTTCACGCTTCTCAATTCGGTTGAAGATTTCTTGCTCACGCTCTTTTTCTGTCATCTGAGCCAATCTATTAAACAGAGTAATGCAACGCGATCAATACACAATATTTGTATGTATTTTCATGTATATATAATTGTACAATGCACTACATTATGTATATATAATTGTAACTACGATACCTCACTGCTTTAAAATTTTTCGTGTTTTCATTTCTGTCGTTCACATTTCCCTGTCGAGCCGTTCGTACTTAACAGAGCGTTCTCATGTCTCTCTCTTAATGGGCACTAATTCAGAAACAGGACATCTTCTTGGCTAACAATATCGCCCAACCTACCGGGCTCGATCAGCGTCGTCTCCTAAGAGATCTTCATCATATCCATCGTTAAATTCTTCACTTTCGTCGGACTCGCCGCCCGATTCATCGCTGTCGTTATTTTCTGATGAGCCGGCTGGCAATTCGCCTTCCTCAACGCCTTCAGAACCTCCAGAACCCGATCGCGAAGTTCCTGCATTACCGCCCGACCGTGGGGACATTGCCTTCTTCGTTAAAACTTTCTTTTTGTTCCCACCTAAAGACAATACGGAAAGATTACAAAAGGCAGTTACCTTAATGTATTATATAGTAAGATTCTTACAAATACTCAGTTCACAGGGAAAACGCAAACGAAATATGGTACAACGAAGGCAACTCATATGTAGAGTACATACATTAATTATAACAGTTTACTCTGGAATTTTTTCCGGTCTTTCGCGCCCAAACAAAAAGGTGACAATTATTTTAGTTCGTTCACTGAGTACCAAAAATTATGTTTTCTAAAGCTTAAAATCGAAATTTTTAAAAATGTGATTAGTCCTTGATTGAACATAAGTTACCGTCAACCGCATTTATCCCATATTTCATTCCTTTTGTTTCATTTTTAAAAAAACACGGACCTCGCATACGCTAGAACTTAGTAACAATAAATATTGCTGTAATTTGATTTCGCGTGGCTTTACAAGGTAAAATTCGAACAACAACCCTGTTTTGTAAGATCGTTAAGGCGTGCAAAACTAATCACTTTACAGTTTACGCAGGTAACGACATAAATTTAACGTATTCAAAAAAAAGTTGTGCTATAGAGTGTCGCACAACATCTGCAAGCCTGATATCTGGAAGCCTGCATATCTATATGTACACGCATATGCAGATTATGATAAAGGTCCTACTTGGTAAAATCAGTTCTTGAAACGACCACCGTAAACAATGCTTCGCAGTATGCACTTGCTAAAGTCATGTCGAGTCATGAGAGTATATTATCCATTCATGAGAGTGTATATTGTGAGAGTATGCATTGTATATTATATCGTTTGAACCGACTAACAACGCTCGGAGGCTTTTAATATTAGATGATCAAATGAGCTGAAACCGTCAAGTTTCACGTCCTTTACCGTTCACCTAGCTGTTACTAGCATTGAAGCAGCAAAATTCATGTGGGCATCAGCACTCCGTTGTTTCTGAACCCACTTTATTTGTCATCTGGCGTAGTAATCCTCCACTACAATACGAAACGATAGTATTGAATGGATTTATTTTAAAATAAACACGCATTTTTGTCCATAACAGTTTAGAATATATATTCTAAGATCCGGCCGCCTTATTAATTATCGAAGTTTGTAATTATCTTCGATAATTAATAAGGCGGCCGGATCTTAGAATATATTTTCTTGTATTGAGTTGCCGGAAATTTCCGAATATCGCCGGCCCTCACAGATGCTTGAACGCGAAAAGCAGCTAATATTATTGGGCTTGCTGTTCTAAAACATCCGAATTGTACGATATTGGCTACTTTGCCCGTTTGCTGTTGTCTCTTCTGTCATGTTAGCAGTAAACACTGAGTGACATTTAGCAGCGATCACCAGTAGCCGTACTGGCTAGTGTATAAGGACAGTGCATCGCCATTGCACCCTGCAATTCCCTCATGAAATCTATTTGCATCGTCCACTTACGATCGTGTGGACAACAATATTGAACGAATAACCCGTTACTGACAGGGTGATCATGTTTGAAAGGTGTAGAGTGGCCGGTTATTCTGTATACTTGAATATTGAATGTAACAAAAAGTGGTGGCTCGGCAGTGCTTACCATGAGAATTAAACAGGCCACATGCTTTGATGTATTGATTTAAATAAGAGTAAATATATATACAAGAATAGATAAATACGAGTAAAATGCGATGGTAGAGCTCCGACCGGTAACGAGTTCCACTGCCACTGCCATTGAGAGCCAATTAATAAGACAGGATTATGAAAACCTGAGAAAAACCTCTTGGTTGTATTGCAATTTCCCGTTTCTTCTACAGGCCGCAAAATTTGTTACCACCGAACACCACCTATTTCCCATTTTCCCTCTCTACCGTACAGCCTTTGTAACACCACAATGCAGCTCGAGCACAGCAGTTGATTGTTATCTAACCGTGACAATATTTTATATACAGTGCTTTTCCCATACCCACGATACACACATACACAAATCCACACTTAGGCCTGCTTACCTTTAGAGCCCCACTCATCCCCTGAATCGGATGTAGCGTCCTCGTCATCTTGGTCCGCTACACGGATTTTCTTCTTTGTCGATGTGGAGTTGTTGTCGCCGCTCACATCTGACCCCTCTGAATCTGAAGCTAACGCCACACGCGACTTTCGCTTGCTACTCATGCTGCTCAATGCCGCCGACGGCTGAGCACACCCTTGTTTTTGCCGTTGTTAAGTAACACTCAGCTAACCCCTTGCAACCGGCGAACACACAGATACACAATAACACCAAATAGATCACACGGTCACCGTCGAGCTCTGGCCAAGTCCGATGTGATTACAGCCGACTGAATACGCTCAGGCAGCTCGCAACAACAGAGTAATTCCTCTACTTCTCTCTATCCGATTGTCTCAAATGGTAAGTAGGTACGAGCGGCAGTTATCAACCGTGGGCAACCACTGCAGGATTAAACTTTCCACAAACGCAAAATGCCACTGAAAGGCCGCAGAACAGAGCTGAACAAGAACTGATGGCCAAGGAGCAAAAACAGTCGCGGAGTCTTTGCACTTCACGAACAGCGAATCGTATTGCTGCCTGGACCGCTACGTTCCTTTGTATGAGTGTTATGAGAGGGCTAGTGGCTAATGGCGCGACCATGTTGTGCCGGAGAGAAGAACCAGCGACATAAACACGAACAACAATAGCGGCTTGAGCACACAATAGCAGACGACACCGTGAACAATCGAGGGTGGAAGCGACACCTGGCGGAGCCAAGATGAGCTCAGGATGATGCAGCCGCTACGGCGCCGGGCAGCAGCCACGGCAAATGCAGTGTACGCAGGAAACCACCCCGCCGGCACCCTGGCTATAGTTGCACTGTATAGAAAAAAAATACAGGCTAGTATTGTGACTGGAGAGACGATCCGCAGCTGCAACAACGATATCTCTAAAGAAAAAACATCGTTTCTGCTTGTATTGGGTAAGCCTAAAACAGTTAATGAAATAAATCTCGGAAAGAGTGAATGAGACGCGTCTTTTTAGGAAACGTTTCAGACGGTTGCAACAGGGCAATGGAGTGAGTATGTTAGTTTTCGATAAGTAAACAGGGAAGCAATGGAAAATCGTATATTAAAGAAATATGAATTTTCGTTCTAAAATAATTACTGCATTTACGAATTGATTGTTGATAGGTAAGAAGCATCAGAGGTTATTCGGAACCAAAATAGCCGGACAATGAACATTAAAACATCACTTTTATTAAGATTCAAAAACTCGACCTACGTCGCTTCTGAATATAAGCAAATTCTCTTGCATCAGCTACTTGGCACACAATATTGAGATATGATATCGATTTTTCTTAGTGGGCGGCTGTTCTATGCGGTAAGTTCTACAGATTTATTCCAACTGCAATTTGTTTTCGTAGAGATTCGATTAGCCATCGTTAAACACAGAGCTAGGTCTGAAATTTAGGCCCTGACGTTAGCAAGCTTGCCGTTTTAAACTTACCAAATAATTAATGACATCGCAGTCGTAATGGGATTACCCGTCCTTCGTAACTGCGTTATCAACCGGAATAAGAATCTAACATTGGCGAAATATCATACAGATTCTTTAAACAGCAGCGTTTTGCTTAGTTCTTTTTCAGTTAGGAACAATAGTTTAAAATTAAAATTAAGTGAAACTCACCAGGCTTCTTTTGTATATTTCAAGATTTTCCTAAGTTTCTTAGAGGGTAGCTTAACAGTCATAAATGTCATTAAATAAATATATAATTTTATATATTTTTCAACATTTTATTAAATAATTATTACCTCTTCGTTTTTCAAATTGACGAAAAGATGCCGATTGGTCGTTCAAAGGAAAGTTATTCTCAATAGAACTTAAGCATGACACCTGTTAATCGCTCTCAAAAGAGCGGTTGAAAAGTGAAGCTGTTTTAACTTGAACACAATGGGATCCCAAATTTTTAAACATGTTATTATTTTCAAGTCTGATTTTGTAGGCCTAATTTATTCAACAAGTTTTGAACTGCACGAGAATACGAGCTGATTTAAAAACAAATGTACATATTGTACATAGGAATTAATTATGTAAAAATATAAACAAATTACCGGAAAAACAATAAACGTTGTACTTCGTGGAAATTGGGTATCTCGTATTTATTTGATTATAACATCTTAATCTCATTAGATTAATTAGTGGTTTTAATATTGCGTTGTGTTTGCGAAGTAGATCAATACCAACTAAAAACATGCGTTAGTGAGTCTAACATAAATTTTCTTTTGATCCGTTCAAAAAATAATGAAAGTTCCCTACCCATGTTGCCTCCATTTTCCCTTAAAATAAATGTTTTCAAAATATAATTGAACATTTCAGTGAAATGAGCCCACTAACGAAATAAACACGACTGTCGAATCAATGAATAAAACTAGTAAAACGTTTGTATAATTGTTACAAGATTCCAATAATTATTCATCGTCAGATGAATTGTTTTTATGCCAGCAAATTTTATAAATAAAGATGTTTGGAAAATTAAATGTTGAATTTATTTTTAAATTACTTCATCCTTTTAGATATGTTGTAGTATATGAAATTCCTACAAAAAAAATCATATTCTACCGATGCAAACCACCATAAGCAACATTATAATAATGCTTTTGCTCATCTTATGCTTTGCCCCAAATTTAACGGCGAAATACCAACCTATCAGCGCCCTGAAAAACGATAATATTATCAAAAAAGCATCAAAAATTCTTATAGTTTTTTTAATTATTCCGTTAATTATTCCGCTGTTCTACATGAACGAAAATAGACGTCGTCTGCACTTACTCTAATCAATCAGTACAGTAGTTTACGGTAAAATTACATCCAGCCCAAATCTGATATGAACCTTAATATAAAAAGAAAACGAATAGAAAATCTCCATGATCGTTTTCTTTTTCCTCGTGCCCATCTAATCTTGACCATCGGCGCAAATTTTCAAAACCTATTACAGGAACTCTGTCAGCTATCCACAGACAGACAAACTTCAATCTTTCAATCAGGTCTGTTCCGATACCTTGTGATTTGTTACTGAGTTCGTACCACGTTCACACCACACTCGTACCACAATCGCCCGTTGTTGTGGCACTATCAAGTATAACGGCTAACAACCGTGTGTGCCAGTGTCATGCGGCCTGCTGTTCGCTCGGGTCCCTTCTCTCACCAGCAGGAAATAGCGGGAGTGGAGAATATGCGTATGACGGTTCCTGAATGAATACGGCGACAATCTTTTTAGCTTTACCAACTAGTACAAGGCAGTGAAGGTGTGTTGTTCTGCTGGATACTGTCTTTTGACGCGCTGGTCTGTTCTTATTATTTTTCTGTTATAGGTCAAAGGTCGCTATACGTACGTTCTGTGATTTCAGCGGTAGCAGTTCTAGTGATTCTGCAAATGTATGGGTAGCTGTTGTGTTTGGAGTAACGAGTACAGCTTTTCTGTTGAGTGGTAGTAGAAACTTATGAACCGAACTGGAGGGGACCGACGACGACGACGACGTTGACTCCAAAACAACAAGCGAAACTGTTGTCCACTCAACCATTGCTACCTTTCTTTCTAGTCAAAGAATCAACCAAAATCAATCAATATGAGTGTCTTAATGTACTCACAGCATGTGGT